TTCTGGTTCTGACAGCTGTTCATTCTCAGTTTTTTTTTCTTTATTCACTCCTTCATTCAACAATTCTTATTGAACACCTAGCCTAAATCAGACCTGTGCTAAGTCACTTTCAAATCAATGCAATTCCTGCCCGGCATGGTGGTACATACACTCATGCAATCCCAGGGACTTCAGAGGCTGAGGCAGGGGATCACAAGTTTCAGGCCAGCCTTGTCAACTTAGTGAGACCCTATCTCAAAATAAAAAATAAAAAGGTCTAGGAGGTAACTGCCCATGAATTCAACCCCAAGTACTACAAAAACTAAATAAAATAAAATAAATGTAATTCTTGCCCTCTTAGGGCTTATGGTCTAGATTAGATGGGCATTAAAATAATCACAGACAAGTGAAATTTTAAACTTTGGCAAAATATGAAGGAAAGACATAGGGAGCTATGAGAGATCTAATAGGGACATCTGGCCCAGTCTAGGAGTCTTGGAGGGCTTGCTTGGGGAATCAAAGTTGGAGCTGTGAAGTGAAGGACCAGTGGGTATTAATGAGTTGAAGGGTGATTTAGAGGAAAAAGGTATTCCAGGCAGAAACATGTGTGTGCAAAAGTCCTGAGGCAGAAGGGAGTATGTCATGTTTAAAGGGCTAGAACGGGGTGTAACTGTGTATTAAACCCTTTCCATAATGTGGMCTGAGGGGACTCTTTTTATTGCCAACAAAGCCCAATGAACAGAAGCACCTATTGTAAGCCTCAGTGTTCAGAAGAGTACAACAACATTGAAATAGCTTCATCCTGGCTCTACTAGCCACGTGGCCTTGGGAAAGTTATTTAGTTAGTGCCTCTGAGGTTGTTTTGTGCATCTGCAAATAAAGATAATAAAAACTTCTGCACAAGTCTCTGATGAAAATTAAATGAGATGATGCCTGTGTACCTGCCTACCATGGTTTATGGCATATAAAAGTACTTAATGCATACTTTTTATATTAGCCAAATGGCTGGGAAAGGGATAGGGCTCATAAGAGCTCATTTCTTTAAAAAAAAAAAAAAAAAAAGGGAGGGGAGGCTACTTTTTTCACTCCACTGGGGGTGGAGGTAAGGGCAAGACTAATACCATATTCATTAAAAAAAATACAGAATTGATAAAAAGGAAGAGCACCTAAGATGTGATGTAATGTAGGACAGGGTCTGGGCTGTTAGCACAGGTACCACAGCCATGTCCACAGGTTGGTATTCTGGTGATTTGGGGTATAAAACACACATAAGAGAGGACAGAGTTGGAACCTAGGGCAAGAGCTGGCTGGGGGAGGGGGCCTAGGGGACATTGGTCCAACTGTGGAGGCCAACTCCAGTCTGGGACAAAAAGTCCAGTGAATGGTCATCAGAATCATGAAGTCCTTGAAGGTGGAGCCATGTGGCCCTTGCTCCTCCTTGATTCCCAGGTTTAGCAGGTACTCAGTGTTACTGGATGGACAGATGACAGTTATCTAGACAGAGGAATCACTTCTATCACATCCCAGTCTTATAGCTTTGAGCAATGTGTCCATCCATGCCAGGGTTCCCCAAAGGGTACTGGTAAGGGTCAAAGTAGAGGGCAGTGGCAGAGATTCTGAGRCAAGGGCCCAATGCCTCAACCATGAGGTAGAGTTCTGGACAGAATCTATCCCAGAAAGAAACACAGAATTTGGCAGTCACTAAGAAAGCAAAGGAAACCCGTCCCATAGATGAATCTCTCAGGGTGAGAAGAGACACAGGGGCTTCTTTCTTTTTCTTTTTACACCCACCTCATTCCATAAGCACATTGTGTTATGTTTAATCTTTAAGTAGGATTTGAAGGGTACATTGTTGTTGTTATTTGAGTCACTGAGGAAATGGAAGGGGAAATAAAATTGGAAAACTTCAATATAAACAAGGTGGCGTCGACACGAAAAACACAAGTCAGAAGCTCCTATAAAACAGCCAGGGGTGGGCTCAGAGTTCAATTCCGAGCTGCCTAGTTACCTGAGCAAAAAGGAAAACAGGCACATGAGCTTTATGGTGTTCAGAAAATAAACCACCAGCAACTTCAGGAGGTACAGCTGGTTGGGGTATCAGAGTCAGGGAGACATTTTTCCATGTTCCTGCACAAGGAGACCAGTGGGTGCACAGGACTTCTGCCAGCACACTGGATACTGGGTTGAGGCTTCTTATACATCTTCCACCCGCATCAGGCCTAACTCAGAGGCCAGAATGGACCCACAGGGCTTCATGCACAGAAGCAGCAGGAAATAGAATAGGGGATGCGTCTGTTTTCCCAGACACATCTCTACCTGAGGATGCTGGAAATCAACAGAGATGTTTCAATTGAGTCCCACCAGCTTCAACTCCCTATCTGGCACTGGAAGCAGTGTAAAGCTGATCTTGGCAAAAACGGAGGTATAATTAATGAAGAGAATATTAGTGGAGTGAGAGTTCCAGAGCCATCCCCAGCTGTGGAGTTCACTGGCTTAACCCTGCCGCCGCCCCCAGTGACTCACTGGCTTATGAGCAATTCTCATATGCCTGATTTAGAGGACTTACTCAGTCTTCAGAGAAAGACTTTAATGCAATAAGGCAAATGTCAGCAAGTGGGACACGGCTTAGCCTATCACCCCAGCCTGTACCTGGCTTCTATAGTCTGGGTCTCCCTGCTTGAGCTCCCCCTACCCCCACTCACTAGGCACCTGGACAGGCTGCAGATCATACCCTGACACTGACTAGAGGCTCACAGATGTGAAACCAGAAGGGATCAGGCATAGCTATCCCAAGCCCTGAAGTCTGGTCCACAAAGGGTGGAGATTAGCTCCCACACACTGGAGTAAGAGGTAAAGGGAGGGCTGGATCTTGAGACGCCTTATTCCCTGTTCAGTGCTCCTCACCATGAGAACCCCACTTAGATTAAGCAGATAAGGGAGACAACTGAAAGAAATTCAGCCTCCCCAGTGTGCAGGCTTCTCATCTGTGCTTTCCAAGTAGCCTGTGGAGGGTGATTTGAGAGAGCAAGACTTCAAGCAAGGCTTTGATGTGAGCTCTTGAGAAGGTCGGGCTAACCTGGGCTCTGCCACCATCTTGACCTTTGACAACACAGAGTGCCTCTTTGGGTCCTCCTGAATTGAGGGGTACAGCTGGAATCCCAGTGGGTGTCAGGCATCAGTTGTCTAGGGTGGCATAAATCCCAATCAGTTCCCTACAACCCCAGAATGGGAAGTAGGCCCCAAGACACACTTGACATAGGCAGTGCTGTGGGGAGTCTGCTCCCTCCTTTCTCCACCAACGCAGAAGACATTAGACRTCAAATTGAGTCTGCCTTGGATTTAAACCCACTCACTGTGGGATTTACCCAGAAACTACTGAGTAAATTTTCTGGAAGAATTAGTTGCAAGGTTAAAAAGGGGCTGGGGGGCAGGATCTTAATGTCAAACAACTTCATGTAGTTCACATCTCCATCCCAACACCTTCTATCTAGACTTTTTAGTTGCATGTGTCAGGCAGGGAGGGAGGAGATTGGACAGCTTGGCACCCAGGTTTGCTAGAATCCAGGGCCTTATGCTTACGTGGACTTTCATCTAGCTCAGTTCATTCCATTTCACACATGAGGCGTCTGAGGTTCCAGCCAAATTCACTATCTTGGGGTGATGGGATCGAGGAACCCAGAGTGAACAGATGCTCCAGCCACTTCCCTGTGAAGCCTGTGCCTGTTAACTTAGGGAAGCCCCCCCAGATGAAAAGCAGCATTTTGTGTCCTTGTTTCGATCACAGACTCATGAGTTAACACTTACAGCTACATATCCACCATTTCACCCTACTATTTGGAAATGAAACCCAGTGCAGCAGGCTGGCTCCGATCCAAAGGTATCCCCACTTTACTCCAACTCACCAACAACATGAAGAAGTGCTGTTTCCTTTAACTATTTTTATTTTGCACTATAAAAAAAAAAACAATAACAACCAGTAACATACCCCTTTTCTTCACATTCACATGGGTTTTAAGAAATTATTGCCTTTTCCCCTGGAGAAATAATCTACAGACAGAAAAGTAGTACCACATTGCAACAATCTGCAAATCCCAGAATTCAGTAGCTTGAAGACAACCCCCAGGGGCTGGGAGGAAAACAAGTGTCACAAGAAACGAGACACGAGCACACAGAAGGACAGCAAGCAGAGAAAGGACTGTTTTCAATGCCACTGACCCAGAAGACACAGCAGGTACCCTTTTTCTCCAGGCACCCACTGCCACCTCAAAGGGATGATTTTTGGTCTATGGTCTGAAAACCCTTTTCGAATGACACCAGAGTTTTAAGAGAGGTGCAACGAGACTGGTTCAAGTATGATGAAGAATCATGCCAGAGTCCAAGGTCAGGGAAGAACCCACAGTGAAAACGAAACCCAGAAGAGTCAACATCTTGCAACTTCAACCAAATGTTTCCGTTGGACCCAGAGGGCATCTCACAAACATTTCAGGGTTCAAATCAGCATATCCAGGGTGTCCCTACCAATCCGGCAGGGTAACTTTCCTGACTAGGSGGTGATCAGCTTATACCCGAAGCAACAGAGAGACTGAGACTGTCAAAGTCCAAAAAAGTAAGATGGAGATTGTGCTTCCTTTAAAATGAATTGGCTTCCTAACTAACTGCCTTTTCTCCTGGTCCAGCAACTTCTCTCTTTCCTGTTGCTGCAGGTGTTTATTGCCTATGCTTGAAATGAAAAGTCGAACTTTGAGGTGCAAGGACTAGGAGGTCCTGAGAGGGCAGGGGGTCTGGAAGTACAGTAGTCAGCACACACKGTGCTCTCGTAATGGCTTGGCCTTCCTTCAGTCCCGAGAACCTCTCTGTGAGGTCAGTCTGAAGTTTGTCTGCAAACCTGATAACCGCTCAGTGTCTTACCGGGGCAGTGAGACAGAGAGAGGTCTTCAGTATTGCACAGGTGTGAAATGTCCACGAGTTTAAAAAACAAAATCACAGTTGCTCTGGGGCTGGGCTGGCACCCCACCCCAGTCTTAGCAGGATGTGGCGGTGGCCACAGGGCCCCTGTGGAGCTCTGCAACGGTTGAGTGGGTGGGCACTGGAGCCAGCACCGAGGTAGGGAATGTGCAGTAGGTGCCCTGCACGTCAGGGYTCAGTGTCTGCAAATGGTCTATAAATGGGGAGCCTGCTGCCTCCCCTTGGCAGGAGAGAGGCTGCCAGGTTGGGCGTGGAAGGCAGGATCTCAGATTCATACTGCAGGAGCTGGCCCATGAAGCCGAAGTTGGGTGAGATCACACTCCTCCGCTGCTTGATGTAATCGAAGGCCTCCTTCAGGCRGAACTGCTTGGTCTTCATGAGGTAAGCCATGCAGATGGTGGGYGACCGGGAAACCCCAGCCTCACAGTGGACCAGGACCTTGCCTCCCTTTTCCCTGACACAGTCTGAAAGGAAGAGAAGAGATTGGGAATGAGTGGGAACTGGAATTGAAACACAAGAATTAAACAGTAATGTCACCTAGTTATCACACCCTCGTGCCTGCTCAGAGCCATGGTACCATACTGGACGTTTGCTAGTCTTCAGCCCCTACTGGTGAGGACAGATGTAGGAAGTATTTAATCCTCACAGCTACTCCCCAGTTCCCTAGAACATCTGCAGATTCTGCCATGGGAGATGCTAGACCTGGAGGAATCCCTTCTGGGGATTCCATCCTAACTTGGGTTCCAACGGTGGGGTTCAAGAAGGAACTAGAAAATCCTTGAAAGCACATGCAAATTTTTATTGCATATACACAAATTTTCTGAGAGCCTCCCGGGCTCAAAGCCTTACTCGGAGAAGTAATTCTTTGCCTCTCTCCAGGTTGGATTCTAATGATGACAACCTAGCCCCCATCCTGGTAGAGACCTCCTGGCCTCCCTGGATACCCTGTCTTGCTGTGCCAGGGCGGGATGCTTGGCTCAGCTCCTAGGGTTCTCACCACCAAACATACGATAAATAGCACATGGCCACTAATTATAGCCCTGGCTAAGTGACGCTTACTAGACGGAGGATATAAATGGCTTTTGCAAATTCCATGTTGCTCAACAATGGGAGTCACTGCTATAAAGCTACCACCATCAGTTAGCATTCTTTAGCTCAATATGACCAAAAGGGGGCCCCTCCTTTCCTGCTCTAACCCTCCCAGCAAAACAGAACTACAACTGTTAAAAATGGGAAAGGGTAAAAGGTGAACATTATCAACAAGACCACAAAAAACAGTCCTTCCAATTCCCCCTTTAGCTAATGAGGAAACAATTACATCACAGGAAGTAAGATGTAGCTAGCACTCTGTGAGGCTGCAGTAGGCAAAAACAAAATTTTTGAAGGCAGCAGGTAGGGGAGCCCCCCTTACATCCTCGCCCATCTGTTCCAAGTTCAAGAAGTTTGCAAATGAATCTGCAATGTCTAGAAGATGAAATATCTAAGGCTCAGGGAGGAACGCTACAGATTCCTCATGTGAATCAAAAAAACCCAAAGTATACCCAAGGTAGCTCATGAGAGGTACCCCCAATCCAATCAATTCAAAACAACAACAACAACAACAGCAACAACAACAAAAAAAACTCAAAAAACAAAAGTTCTTATAAATCAGTTCAAAGGGGAGACCCCCAACTCCCTAGGATTACAGGGTTGTGGCCTTCATTTCCTTTGCTCTTCCACTCATTTCCCCTCTTGAGTCCAGCTTTTAGTGGGCAAAGGACCCAGAATGCACTGCTCCTCTACAGCTCAGGGGCCTGCCTTCTATAGGACTCTCTTCATCTGGAAGGGGTTGGTGCATACATTTCAGCACAGGGCCCACTGGAGAGACTCAGCCTCTTCCATTAGCAGAGCAAGGTGTCTGGGAAAAAACACTGTGTACTTTTGAAACCCTGTGGGGTGGTGTGACTGTACACAAACACACACACCATATACACACAGGACTGGGAGGGACAGTTCTGTGAGCTGGATGGGGGCGAGTTTCATGACCTCATGCAGCAGCTATCTAGGTAATTAAATAAGAGGCCTAGGAGGGCAGAGCCTTCCCAGGGACCGGGAGAGCAAGTCAAGGGTTTCCCACCCAGAACCCATCATTTTGGCTGCTTCTCAGGCTCTAAAGGGATCATTTCAGCCTGGAGGCTCAGGGGACAATGAGGACAGGTTTGACCTTTTGCCTCTGGTGAATTTCTCATCAAGGTTTCCTATGGAGCAGGAATTGTGTGTGATGAGCACAGGGCTTACCATGTGGCTGAAGAAGGGCCCTTTAATTGCTATCTGCACCAAGTAATTATGCTGTGCCTAACACCTGTCTTTCCTCCTTCAACATCCCTTAGAACTCGATACAAGGAAAATCAAGCCTCAGTACCAACAACTATGCATGTTAAAAAGAAAGAAGTCCTCTTAAGACCACAAGGTTAGGGAGTAGTGTTGCAAATGTGGGATTAAAAAAAAAAAAGAAAAGTTAGGCCAGACCCGCAGGGAAAGAGATATGGGAGAAAGAGAAGACACCAAACGGGAGGACAATCCAGGCAACCTCAAGTGCCTGGAAACCCCAAGGCCAAAGCTCTTTCCAGGCAGAGGGGTGAAGGCCACTGCCTTGTTTTCAGGTTTGCACAATGGAGTAAATGATAACTGCCTCATAGGAATGCAGAAAGGATGTAGAAGATGCCAAATTTTCTGTGCACAAAGCATGGAGCTTGAGTCAAGTGCTATCTTTAATCCAAAATTAGCTGAAAATGCAAAACAAATTGCCTCCAAAGCTGTTTGCCAAAACTGTGGAAAGCTGTTGGGCCCTCCAGGCTCAGTGCGTAAGTAGCGCTCTCTCGATCCTTCTGTTTGCTTTTAAAAATATCCCAACCTACGTACAAACACAGTTAGGGAGCCCCCGCTTCCCCCTTTCCTCGTGTGAAGCATTACGCATGGACATACTCTGCTCCCGCCCAACTTGAAACAACAAGAGCAGCAGTGAGTATAGTCATAAAATTATATTAATTCATTTATCTTGCAAACTAAAGCTCCTATTAATAGCAGCTCAAGTCCTCCCTCTGCCGCATCTGTTCTTGGTGTCAACTCTTGGTGGTTGCATACATAGGGCATTTCTCTCTCAGAGAAGGTAGTCCCCCCCATCAACACATCAAAAAACCAAGAAGGCATGCTCCAAGGGGCTCCCAAAATAATGGAGGGGGAGGACCCAACCTACCAATGAAGTCTATTGCTTCTTGAAAGTGGGAGCTGATGTCGGCCGTGTGGCTGTCTTCCACTGGGATCCATTTGTAGTGTAGGTGGGTCGTGCAGGCCTCGGAGGTCCGCCGGGAGACATTCAGCAGGGCTGTGATGTGCAGGTTRGCTAGGAACTCGCACTTGGATGCATGGTAGGCACTTCCAAGGTAGAGGAAGGGAAGGATTTCCACAGGGCTGCCCTGGAAGCAGAGACAAAGAACAACCAGGAAATATTGGATTAGCCTGCTCATTTGGAAGAATTAAAAATAAACAACTCTGACCTATTTGTCTCTTAAGGTGGGAGGTTCCCTTTCTGGTTTCCAGGTAGAGAGAGTTCAGAGCCAGGGCAGCTCAGCCAAGAGTGTGGGTGGCACCTCCATCCTGGTAAACTCTACCCACCGTGACTGCCGGGTGACTCAATGACAGCCAAACCCACACGGCCCAGAGTTTCATTTTTTGCACTTATCCAAAGAGATAGGAAATGCCAGCAGCCTTCCTGTGCTACCCAGTGTAAGAACAGGAGCAATGCAACTAAAAGACCTATGGTGACATTTCAGCTGCCCTAAGAATACCAGGACAAGCCTTGAGCTGTGGGGCAACCCTGGCAATGTAGGCTCCCTTTTTTATAGCCCAGACATTTTAGAGTGTATTTTCATCAACCCTCAGATACTGTCTATTCTAAAATAACCCAGGTTTCAGAAATGGTAAAATATGCAGCCTCCTCACCCTCCAAAAAAGTATGCTTCTTAGAAATGAAAATAACCACTACCTACCCAGAATCTATAGACTAAGAAAAACTGTTAGACCACAGAGGGGTTTCCCCCACCCCTGACCTTCTTCACACGGGCGCTGTGTGGGTGAGAGGGGTTTACATCATCACCCACACAGTAGGCTTCTGGTGTGGAGAATCAAGACTAAGTGAGAACCAGAGACTATCTACCCCTGAAATGAACCTCCAGCTAGTGGGACTCCAGCAATCTGAGCACGTATGGGTTCTCAGGTGCCAAAACAAAACAAACAAAGCAAAAAAGCCAGTGACAGTTGGAACAACAGGAGCCCCTGGGGATTCAGAGGGAAACACTGGGCTGGCTGTAGGGACTGTGGTTGGTCTTTGGGAGCCTTTCCCATACCATCCATCCGTTTCCTGTCTTTCCATTTCCTGTCCAGGAATAAGAGWGGAATGGAAACTCTCAGCCCGACCCATAATAGGGAAAGGGGCATGTGTGTGTCCTGGGGAGGAGGGAGGTTTGCAATAGGCCATTCTCAAATTTGTCCAGCACTTTGTGCCTGCATTTTCTGTCCTGAGAAGTTGAGTGTTTCAGTAAAGCCAGTTCAGTCACTTAGAAGAAAGTTACAGAGGATTTTACTTAAGGTTAATTATAACAATCGCATTTTTATTAGCACTTATAATGGCTGGCATGTGGGCTTGACACTTTGGATGTACCTATATAGTGCCAATTTCACAAATCTATAAAGTAGGTAATGTTGTTCCCATTTTATAGAAGGGTGACTTGAGGCTTAGATTGGACTCAGGGGCACTCGACCACTGAGCCACACTCTCAGCCCTATTTTGTATTTCATTTAAAGATAGGGTCTCACTGAGTTGCTAAGTGCTTTGCCATTGCTGAGGCTGGCTTTGAACTCTTGATCCTCCTGTCTCAGCCTCCAGAGGYGCTGGGATTACAGGTATGCACCACCTGGCTCAGATAGGTTTAAATAACTTGCCCACATCAGAGCTTATCAAATGGTAGAGATAGGATTGAAACCCAAACCCAAGTCTCAAGGCCTTGTCTGAGACCATTTCAACAGTGATAGTATGAGAAATCAAGCATTTCAGGTAAAATATCCTCTATCTCTAAAGAGAAGTGAATTTATACCCTCTCCTTGACATCTCCCCAACTCCCCTACATTCGAAGCAGCCTTCCCAGTGGCAATGTGGTACAGAGGCTGAGAATCTGGGCCTGGGCACCAGGTAAAACAGCTCTTTCTCCATCAAGTCCCAGCTCCACGTTTCCTAGCTGGTATGACCTTGGGCAGCCTCCCTAACCTCTGAGCCTCCTTAACCTCTGAACCTTTATCTGAAAACCTCTAAGCCTCCCTAACCTCTGAACCTTTATCTGTAAACCAAGGATAATAATCCCTATCCTCCCGGGATAATGGGTAAGTCATAAATGGGATAATGGGTGTATTAAAATCTGATACATTATAGAGCATTTTCATGAGGCTGAAGAATAAACAAATAGAATAAGAATTTTCTCCCTGGGGAAGACACAGGACAGATGCTGGGAGGTCAGGGTATCCCAGCAGTCCGGGTTCTGGCCTAAACAGGACYCACTCCGTGGACCCAGCTCCCCACTAATTAGAAACCCAGAAAACAGCAAAGATGGTAGTGTTCTTTGGAAAACAGTGAGAGGCACAATCTGGTCAGTTTCTCTCAGCAACTGACCAGCTAGACACCAATGGACACCTATACACGGAGCAGGCAGGATGGCTGACTAGGTCTCTCCCTTTCCTGAGGGCCTGGAAAACATGGACACCAGGCTTGGAACCCTACCCAACTTCCCCTAGAGCTTAGCCCAACAAATACCCCTCAAATTATATTTCTTTCCCTTTCTGAACCTCCCATTTACACTTAAGAGGAAGATACCAACGGCCCTTCGAAACCTCAAAGGTTAACAGCCTCGCCTCACTCCTCTGTGCAGAAGTGGTATGGGGGTTCCCCAGATGATCTTGAAGACACATCAGGGCCTCCCCAACCTTCGCCTGGCCAAAGGTCTTGCGTGCTTTCACACACTCTGACAATTTTTATTTCTCTTTCACTTTCTTAGAAATGGGGAAAATACAACCCAAACAAACAAACAAACAAAAATAGAAATCCAGCTAGGCTGGATGCTCATGACTTGAAAGCCAAGGGTTCATCATACACTGAAGATTTTCCATGAAGGAAAACAAACTGAGTCATAACCCTGGCACCTGGCCAACATAATAAATAGGATTCCTGACCAAGAATCCCATTCAAGACCAAGTCACCTGGTTCTATTTGGAAGTCTGTCCCTAGGGGCAGAGTTCTACTCAGACAGGGAACTGGCATTTTTGGCGGCATCTAGAAGTCTTCCTTCTTAGGCTTTGGCTATGTTCTTAGTTGGGGAGGACAGTGTGAAAAGCTCCTCCCACTACCCAGGTGTGTAGCCAGGGGCATGTGAAAAACAGGAGGAGGTCCTGAAAGGAACCACAACAGGGAGTTAAGAGAATGGGGTTCTGGGGCTAGGGGTGTGGCTCAGTGGTAGAGCTCTTGCCTAGCCATGTGTGAGGCCCTTGGTCCAATCCCCAGTTCTGTGGGACAAAAAAAAAAAAAAAAAAGTTGGGAGGAAGAAAGAAAAAAAGGGGGTTCTAACTCTGAAACTGCCATAACCAGCTGCAAGACTTTGTAAATCAGTCATCTCACTAGCTACAGCAGTGCTTCCTCTCTCTGGTGAAAAGTCAAGGTGGGTTTTCAGCTCTGGTTTCTACAGAATCTGAATTCTTTTCTGCCTTTCCCCATCTTCCAACATCATGTTAAGTAACCCACGACCTTTAATGGGTGGTTACAATGCACAATTCTTTGAAGGAAATAAACCCCCACACCTTTAGAGAAACCAGAAGCTCCCCAGCGTCTCTTGATCTCCTCTGGTGTCAGAATTTGTAGAATTACAAGCATCAGAGACCCTCAGGGGAGCCTGCTGAGCCATCCGAAACAGGGGTTTCTCTAGCACAGCCACCTTTCCCCCTACCTCCAACCCCACTGCAGTTAAAAACACCAAGACACACCTTGATAGTACTGGGTTGGTGTATAGAAACTGCAGATGATCAGCAATTACAAAGAACACAGGAAGCCTGAAAGTCAACTCTGAAATGTTTTCAGGGAAACCTAAGCCAGTATTTCTAAGCTTCTCTGAACCTCCCAAGGCAGCCATTAACAAAGTATCTTTCATTTCCCCTTTTCTCTAGAAGCCATCCAGCATCCCAGGGCTCACTTGCTCTTGTCAGCTTGTTTGCTGGAAGGATGCCCATTTATTCTTGGACAGGAACTCCAACTGGCAAGCCATAGAGGCTCTCCAAGTTAGAGGATGGTGCCAGCACCCTGATTCACAGAGAACAAACCACTACTGCTGAGCTGGGAGAGAAGTCAGGTGGCTGAGGAAGGAAGGAATGAGACAGGAACTGGCAGCTACATACCTGGTCATAAGCTGGCCTGTAGTTGAYGCTTAGCACTGGTTTCCCACACTGGCTGATGAGGGCTCTCTCGCTTTCGATCTTCTCTTGTGAAAYGGGTTTTACGTCTACACAACACTCAGGATATTCCGAATAGAAGGTCTCATATCCCCCTAGAAAAACAAATGAACATACAAAAAGTGAGACAGATGTTTTAGGATAGAAATTGGATGCGTGCATACACACGCTCATGTGTGTGCACACATAGCCCTAAAAGGCTATAGTTCAGAAAGGCAATGATTAACTTTTTGTGTCTATCAGAAGCAGCTTAAACTGTGAAAGAAATAATCTGGCATCTGGCAAATATTAACTAAACCCTTCCAGAAAAACAAAAGCYATTTTCTCATTTTTTATTCAAAATGAAGGTGTGATTATGAAAATTTTCATTAATTTATAAGAAATTCTTTTAAACTGTTTTTCCCCAGCGCATTTGCTCTAAGCAGGATTACAGATGGCACCCTATCATTTATAAGAGAATAGGGACTCATGCAAGGATTCAAATCAGAACAGTAAACCAGCCTTGCCCCTTCTCACCCTCGAGGTGTTAAGAACTCTGCTGACAATCCCTTCCCTAGGTCCAATTTAGAGCCATCAATCCAGTTAATTACCTTCTAGGCCAAATGGGAGGAATGAGGACTTCTGAACTAAATTCCCAGCCCCCATAAGTAAAGCCTGTCTCTGTTCCTTTGTGACTACTACCCTTTCTATCTTATTTATTATCCTCCCCACAACYTTTCTCCAAGGCTCCAAAAGGATACATCGACTAAGAGCATTAAGAATCTTAGCATTACATTTAAACTTCTCCAGACTGATGACTTAGGCTAAAAACCACTCTCTCTAGGTCACAGAAATTTGTCTTCTCAAGGCCATTATACTCAAGTGGGGAAGAACCAAATGAAAAATGGCCGAGGGCCGCTCAGGAAGCCAAGGGCTAGTGGGTGAACAGGCCAGCTTTGCTTAGGAACTCTATTTCCAACCAGAGCAACCTCAGGCACTTCCGAGAGCCTCTAGAAAGCTCACTTGTCTTTTAATGGCCTAGAGAATTCACTTAGTATCAAATCATGAATTAAATACGCATTCTGAGATCATGCCATTTCCAAAAAAACTCCTTTTTTCTTTTGCGTTTTGGTATTGTGATGGACCCTCAAYGGAGGAGGTGCTGTCTTTTTTCAACACTGCAGTCAACAAATGGTTAATGGATTACATGGCAATCTGCAACTCTCTCCCAGAAGCTGGAGCCAATTCCTAGAATGAGTCATCTTGCCATTACTGCTTCCTCTCAGCTTGCTGGAACTGCCCCTGCCCCCATTTAGTATACCCGAATCTCTCCCATGGTCATTTCAACAAATAGCCCACCGTACCTCCCCGGATGAGTTTCTGGTCCTCCACAATGACCATGTTCCCTGTCATGGTGACAGGAGGCCCAGCTGGAGTATGGATAAAGGGGGGCAGAAATAGAGGTTTGGTGGTGTAGCTTCCTCTCCCTCATGTCCCCCAGCCCCCTTCCCTTCTAGGAGGTAGAGTGTGCCAGACTTAACACTGGCCCACATCTTCCCCAGAGGAGGTGTCCCTAGTCAGTCAACCACCTGATCATTTCCCATGCCAGGTCTCAACACTTTGATTCTAGGAGATAAAACAAGTGATTGGGAGCAAGCATTTGCATCCAGATGGGTCTAGTCCCTCCAAAACTTCGAGAGATGAGACTTGGTGAAAAGAAGCCTTTGGGCCACCCTATGTCTGGGCTTCAAACAGATCATTTAAAAGCTGGCTGTCAGTTGGAGAGATGTGGGTGTGGGCTAGATCCWGCTTGCCTGTTGACAAAATAAGGCAGGCAGACAAGGCGTCTCAGTGTAGTAGAGGGACAGATAAACTGGGCCCTGCCTCTTCAAGCTGGGGTCAGGAGATTAGATGGGTCTTCCACCCACTCCCATCAGAGGTGTGGAGACAGAACATTCCTCTCCRGTGCCTCACTCCCGTTGCAAGAGCCATGGCAATTCTTAGGGCTTCAACCTTCCTCAGAGTGAGTCTGCTTTCAATCATCACCACATTGCCAGAGGAACAGAGGCAGTGAGTAGACACTATATATAAATAAGCACTGGCCACACAATTCAGTCAATCACCATCTCATTGCAGTGAGTCTTGGTTTTGGAGRGGGGTTTAGAGAGTATAAAAGGCATTGCCCCAGGATCTGAACGCCATCAGGTTAAAATCTGAACTCATATCTAGACATGAGTTAGGCAAGATAAAGAATTTTTCCTCTGGCAAAAAAAAAAAAAAAAAACAGTTTGAAGTGCAGGGTGTTATAAGGGTAGGAATTTCTACTGAAATCTCAAATGCACACAAATTTGACCTAGTAATTCTTATCATTTTATGGAAAGATAGTGCACATACAAGAATATATGGGCAAAGGTATCCTCTA